GAGGGTCAAGATATCGAGATCGCTGTCTCTCTCTCTCTCTCTCTCTCTCTCTCTCTCTCTCTCTCTCTCTCTCTCTTATGGCAGAAAGAGTTTTGTTCAACTGAGGGGGTTGTAAACTATTCCAAGAAGGGACAAACAGGATATGCTTATGGGGGGGTGAAGGATCCTTCAGTCATTGTTGTATTCTGGTCTATTTGGGTTCTTAATTGGGATAATAGTGTATTGAACCATAGGATATGGCCCATAGTAATTGAGACTGGACAAGGACTGTTTATATTCATATCCCTGGTGATATGAATATGGAGGGCTATGGAGGGCCATGACCTCCCCTGAGAACTGGCTGGTCCACTCAGTGCTGGGGTCCATTATTGCTGTTGTCATGCCAATCCGGGAAGGAACCTGGCTAGTGCTTCTCTGCCTCCCCGAGCAGCCTACCACTGCAGCATGGGGGGGGGCGGGGAGTCTCCGTGCTCAGCCGGCCGGTTCTGAGGTGAGGGACTGGGTCTCTGTGGCACCTGTGGTGCCGCTATTCATATTCGTATCTCTGGAGATACAAATAGAAATGTAGCCCATGTCTAATTGAGACCCCAAGGAAGGGAATGCGCTGTGCCTCCCACCCAGTGAAAATGACCTCCCCAAAGATCCCCTCTGAATGAGGAAGGAGTTTCTGGCATCATTCATGAAGGAATGTTTTTGCTGGCAGAGGATTCTGGGTGTTGTAGTCCAAACAAAGGAATGTTTCCTTCAACCTCCACCTTTTGATCCCACCCTGATCTAATACTGCTTACACACTGAGAAAACGAGAGAGAAAGAGACACACACAGAGAGAGATAACACTGCAGGACCAAGACACGTAATTGGTGTAGCCTGTCGTTTAGCCCTCGAAATTCAGCTCAGCTGCTGTGTTGTTCACAAAGCCTCCCACTGGCCCCACCTCCACCCTGAAAACTCCAGGCATCATGAGAAGCTGGCGAGGAGCATGTGTTTCTCCTGCATGCTCAAATGGCCAATGTGAGCTGAACAGAACTTCAGCCAGGTAACTCTGAGGACTATAAACACCCAGAATCTCTCAGCCAGACTCTGTTGGGGGATTCTGGAGGCTGTGATCTGAAGCAGGGACTGACGGTTGAGACCTTGTGCAATTGCCACCACTGACAAATATCCTATGTTGAGTTACCTGCTTCACTGCCATACCCATGCAGAGGGCAACACGAATGACCCCATGCTCCCACTGGTTAACCTGAACTCCACATACCGAAATATCAGGAATTGTATAGTTGAACCCAGTGGTTCTCAAACTTGGGTCCCCTGATGTTCTTGGTCTGCAATCCCCAGAAATCCTGGCCAGCACAGCTAGGGGTGAAGACTACTGGGAACTGCAGTCCAAATAATGGATTTTCTTTGTCTCTGTTTCCATGGGCCGCGCGAATCGCCGGAGGGAGATTGTTCCAGAGGCGAGGAGCCACCGCCGAGAAGGCCCGGTTTCGTGTCTTCGCCTTCTGGGCCTCTCTCGGCGTCAGGCTCCTCAGCCTCACCTCCTGACTCGCGCAGGTGATCCGGGTAGACCTTGGTGGGAGGAGGCGTTCCGCCAAATAAGCTTTCATTACCCATAGATCTAGAAGAAGCTACGTCAGCTGTCCAGTCCGGACAGGAACCCGGGCTTCCCTGCCCTGCCTCCTCCTGCAGCTGACCGCTCAGATAAGAAGCCATTGAGCGGTCGGCTGCCAGAGGAGTGGAGCAGGGATGCTGGGCTCCTACCAGGATGGGGCAGCCAACCCAGGGGGACAACCTGGCCAGTGTGCAGAGGGTTGTAGGTGGGGCAGCCAGCTAGCGGGAGGGAGAGGGAACTTGGGCCAAAGCATGATAAAACGCTTTGTGCCCATCTCTATTTGGGAGTTCAATTCCCGCTGTGCCTCCGTGACAGAGGCTGGACTCAATGAGCCACAGGGGCCCTTCCAGCTGCAGGCCTTTGACAGACGCTGCATGTTAAGACAACCCCAGACAAGGTTCTGAAGACAGGGAACTGCAATGCGTAGACAATTTATTGAATGTTGAACAACAGGTTGTTCTTGTTAATTGAAGAATCCTGAATCAATTCTTCCCAAAGATTTCAGCATCTTAGCCAGTTATACGTCCCACGCAGCATTTGATTTGATCCTTTTGGGGGCAGTCATTGTATTCCTCCTTGAACACTGAACCAAGAGCACAGAAATATTGCCGGGGTAGACAATATCCGGCCCCTTCAAAGCAAGTTATTAGGATTGCCCGAAACTTTCCAGCTGGTTCATCCTTAAGGTTCTTGTCTGCATGAAGAAAAAATAATGAGGATGGTTAATGTTTTTATTTATTATAGAGTAGCAGATACAGATGTACCAGGCTGGATAGATCAGTGAGATAGCTACATGTTGGGACTTCAATTCCCCACTGTGCCTCCCAGGGGAAGAGCCAGCCTGTGTAGCCTTGGGCAAGCTGCACAACCACAGGGAACCCGCTCCCAAGAAATTACAAACAGTAAAACACTTTTGTGTTCTTTATATCTAGAAAACCCTGGGAATGGGGGCCATAAATAGAAATCAACTTGACAGCACACACAGGGGGCATGGTGGCACTGCGGGTTAAACCGCAGAAGCCTCTGTGCTGCAAGGTCAGAAAACCAACAGTCATAAGATCCAATCTATGCAACGGAGTGAGCTCCTGTCAATTTGTCCCAGCTCCTCGCCAACCTAGCAGTTCGAAAGCATGTACAGTAGATGCGAGTAGATAAATAGGTACCACCTCGGTGAGGAGGTAAAACGGCGTTCCCTAGTCATGCTAGCCACGTCGCAACGGAAACTGTCTTCGAACAAGCACTGGCTCTACGGCTTGAAAACGGGATAAGCACCGCCCCCTAGAGTCAGACACAACTGGACTAAAAATGTCAAGGGGAACCTTTACCTTAACTTTGCCTGACAGCACACAATGGTTACCATTATTTATTTAACTCTTAAAAAAATATTTTTGCCCTAACTTTCTCCTTAAAAGGACCCAAGGCAGCTTCCATGGGTAAAAAGGCAATATTTAAACACTATAAACAGCAAGTATACAAATATTTTAAAAGCATTAAACAAGTATTAAATTGAAAATGGTAATTAAAATCAGTACTAAAAAAAATTTAAAGCAACAGAACTCAGCAATCTCTTCAAAATCCCTGCTGAGATAACTGGTCGCTAAGAAAACACCTCCGTCAAGATAGTAACTGCATAATTACTCAATGTATCCAATGTAAGATTAAAATTAGAGTTGTATTCTTCCAGAAACAAATATTCTCACAAAAATGAAAGGTGGACTGATGAAAATGTCGAGGTCTACAGAACGTTCCTTTGATTTGAATTTTTTCCCCCACACCTGCTGTTTGAGTCACTTTGCTTTCTTTAGTTTTGTGGAGACCCTCCATGGACAATCTTTCTTCTGCCCAGGGGGAAACCTTATGCTATTTTGGAACACTCCAGCCCGGTTCCTCTCAATACCCATGCCAATATTTATAAACATCAAGGTCTCCATGAAAAGCTGCTTTCTCATGAATGAGGAAATGCAAATGGCTATGAATGGAGGTGGTTACACAGCAACATCAGAATTCTTTCTGGCAGAATTATTGGCCCACCTTTAGCCAAAAGAACAGGAAATGGAGATGAAGATCACTATGAGAAACTGTAGAACTAGTACCAGCTCACTCTCAAGAAAAAAGAAGCCAGAGAGAGAGAGAAGAACACAGCTCTAAGCATCCTAAAATTAAGTTCAGACTCCGGCCGAAGGACTCAACAGTCCATCTCCATAAGTGTCCTCTATCTCAACAGGATCATACTCCACTGAGGTTCCTCGCTTTGCACTAAAGCTAAAAATATGCTGATAACAGCTGCTATAGTCTGGTGACCTCACTCGGAGGCCTTCCCTCACATCTCAGTAGATAAAGTTATCTATCAAGCTTTCAGTCACTTTCTTCTTTAGGTGAAGTATTTCCCTTTTCTTGACTGATACATCTTTTCTTTTTCTTTTTCACCCCAAGAATCCTAGATTGAACATGAGATGACCATGTAGACGACCATGTCTTACCACCTTATATTCCAGCCGATGTATGGTGGTCATTCCACATTTCACCCTAGGATGCTTACACATCCCATAGTCTTTAGCAGACAAATCCTTGTTCCAACCACTTACCATCAGCTTGAATAGCAGGACCTTCAGGGACCTTTACATCCGCCTGAGTTGTTGGTTTTGGGTTGCTCTCAACCCGGAAAGCCAAGAAGACAACAAGCAGGAGAAGGTAAAAAGCCTTCATGGCTGAACGTTGGCTCCAATCTCAGTACCCAGGAAAGTCAAAGGTTCAAGAAAGAGGATGTTGGACCAGACCACCTTTGGGAGAATCTTTCACACCTTGGATATTTATAGAGTTTTGCTTCTGGCAAAACTACAAGGAAATGTTCAACATCTCCCTGAGGGTGTTCCCCACATTGCTAAAGCTCAGCTTTGGATGGCCAATGGAAACCACTTGAAACCTTTCCAAACTGTTTCTCTTTGCATTCAGCTTTGAAACTGGCTCATGTGATAACAATTCCTTAACAATGATCCCACGCTAGTCATGCTCCATACTTTGGATCACCGCTCTGCTTTACATCTTTCTCTCCTGACTGCCATATTTTCATTGTCTCCAATCCCTATATTGGAAACAAGTTTAAATTCACATAAATCCCAAATTGTCCTATGCGTATTTTCTGAGGACATATAGCAAATAGAAGATAACCATGTAATCTTTATGCACCTTCTGTGTCACTAAGCAACCTTTGAGATGCTCCTTTCTCTTGCAGAAAGAGGCAGTTGTACCCCTTCAAGCAGAAGAGACCTTACTAGAATTTCCCCCATCACCCCGATAGGAGACAAGGCGTCCATGGATGAAGACAATGTGTCTTCAACCAAACAAAGAGGATTAGGAGGTTAATTTTTTAACATTCTTTTTTTCTATCTGGATGTCGTTCAGTCCCTTGGGCACTGCCTGGTGGCCATCCTACAATGGATGTAGTCAAAGGGACTGAGGTTGAACCTGGACAAGACGGAGGTCCTGCAGGTGAGCGGTCCCGATGTCAGTGGTTTTGGGAACTCCCTCTCTTTGGGGGGGTGACTCCCACAACAAAAACTTCTGTTCACAATCTGGGGGTCCATATTGATCTGGCATTTACCATGGAGACCCAGGTAGCGTCCATGGTTTGGTCCACCCACTTACATCTTCAGCAGATCGCCCAGCTGTGTCCCTGTCTAGACGCGGGCTCGTTCACCATGCTGATAGTCTCAAGAATAGACTACTGTAACACTCTCTACGTGGGGCTTCCTTTGAGACTGATGCGGAAGCTTCAGATGGTCCAGAATAAAGTGGCCAGGCTATTAACAGGGGTGAAAAGATTTCACCATATTTTCCGCACCCTGACCACATTGCACTGGTTACCTATCCACTTAGGTATTGATTTCAAGGTGCTAACTATTACATATAGAGCCCTAAACGGTTTAGGCCCTCGATACCTGGCAGAGCGCCTTCTTCTGCCCAGTTCTACCTGTATCACCTGCTCCATTCGCACTGTGCAGCTGATGGTCCTAACACCAAGAGAGGGCCAAAAGGAAAAATCTAAAAATTGGGCCTTCTCGGCAGTGGCCCCTCGTCTCTGGGACAACTTACCTGCAGAGATCCGCCTGGCCCCCTCGCTGAGGGCCTTCAAGGATATACAGGCAGGCCTTCCCGACAACCATTGCAAACCCGATTTCTTTTCTTTTTTCCTCTTTTTCTTTTTCCATCTTGGACTCTGCAATTAATTCAGATTTTACCATTAGTTTATTTATTATGCTTTATGTAAACCACCCAGAGTAGACACGTTCTAAATAGGCAGTAAATAAATAAATAAATAAATAAATAAATAAATAAATAAATAAATAAATAAATAAATAAGACATAATTTTATACTTCACCTTTTTGCCTTTCTTTGTTTACCTTTTTCCTAAACTAATCCCCCCCCAATAAAAATGTTTTATGCTTTCCTTATAAAGGAGTTACCTGGCTGGAGAGTTCAGTGGTTTAAGCATCTGATGGCAGAGCCAGAGATTGGGAGTTTGATTCCCCGCTCTGCATCCCCAAAGAGCCAGCCTGGGTGGCCTTGGGCAAGCTGCA